ATCCCCCCCCCCCCCCCCCCCCCCCCGTGAGGCAATAGCAAACTGGCATGCAAGTTCGGCCCATGGCTCCTGATTTGAAGTGGAAAGTGACTGATTTGCTGTTAAAATTAGATGTGAACAGGGATAGGCAGGTGAGATGCTACATAATCACTGTGGACTTAGGTCTTTAAGATTAGAAAACAAAAATTTGGAAATGCTTCTTTGCCTAATTTAAAACAAACAGCGGGAACAAAATCAAATCAGATAACTTATTTACAGACTAAAACATTTCCTACTGGCTGTGATAAAATGCATTAATCTCTCAGTTCTTTTTTTAAGCCAAATAAGTGTGTTTTGGTGGCTTTCTTTCTGTGGGATATATACTCATCTCTGCTTTCAGTCTCCTGCATATAAAACATTCAGAGGGCTCTCCTGGAGTTTCTAACAAGCATAGTCTAATATTAATTGAAACAGAATCTTAGCATGCTGTTTGTTCTGTAGGTTTCACTTTCAAACTTTCTCTGCATGTTTGCAATCAATTATTATTGTCTCCTCCTATGATCTGTAACAATAGGGATTCATGGAAGGATTTATGATCTCTTTCCTGCTCTCCAATTTAACAGATGTCAGAATTACTCTGCAATGGAGTTTCTCTGCATGCAAGGGTTTACCCTTATTCCTTTTTTTTTTTTTTTTTTTTTTTTTTTGCCATATGTGGGCCTCTCACTGTCGTGGCCTCTCCCGTTGCCGGACGCGCAAGCTCAGCCTCTCCTGGAGTTTCTAACAAGCATAGTCTAATATTAATTGAAACAGAATCTTAGCATGCTGTTTGTTCTGTAGGTTTCACTTTCAAACTTTCTCTGCATGTTTGCAATCAATTATTATTGTCTCCTCCTATGATCTGTAACAATAGGGATTCATGGAAGGATTTATGATCTCTTTCCTGCTCTCCAATTTAACAGATGTCAGAATTACTCTGCAATGGAGTTTCTCTGCATGCAAGGGTTTACCCTTATTCCTTTTTTTTTTTTTTTTTTTTTGGTGCGCCACATGGCACGCGGGATCTTAGTTCCCCGACCAGGGACCGAACCCGCACCCCCTGCATTGGGAGCGTGGAGTCCCAACCACTGGACCGCAAGGGAAGTTCTTATCCTTATTCTTATTGCTTCTGATTATTGGTGAAGTGCTTAAAAAATTCTCAATTTCCTTTATTTTTCTTGACTGCCCTATAGATATGTTTTGCCAATGGGTCAGTTAAAATATTTCACATTCTAATTTTTACTGTAAAAGAATACTGGTGGGGCCTTCCACCAGAATATTTTAGATCAAAATGTGCCCCCCTCTATTTTGTTTTTCCTGTAATGAACAGAGATCTGCAGATCAGACTCCAGAGTGCAAAGTTTACAGGATTTGGAGTCAGGCCAGACCTAGGTGGGAAGTCTGTGATGATGAAAGATGTGAGTAGGTGCTTCAAACTCCCTAAACCTGACTCAGGGGGAATTTTTGTCCTCTTACAGGGTGGAGGAGGGTCAAGCTTTTGACTACAGACCTATCAGTGCTCATTCAGTAAACATTTATTAAGCCAATAATTGGAGACCCCAGTAAATCACTTGTACTTAGGAAGAGAAACAGCATTTCTTCTTCTTTTTTTTTTTAATATTTATTTGTTTATTGGCTGGCTGCATAGGGTCTTAGTTGTGGCATGTGGGATCTTTCGTTGTGGCGTGTGGGTCGTGGCGGTGCGTGGGCTTCTCTTTAGTTGTGGCTGACAGGCTCCAGAGCGCATGGGCTCTGTAGTTGTGGCGTGTGGGCTTAGTTGCCCCGTGGCACGTGGGATCTTAGTTCCCCGACCAGGGATTGAACTGGCATCCCCTGCCTTGCAAGATGGATTCTTAACCACTGGACCACCAGGGAAGTCCTAGAAACAGCATTTCTAAATAGCTGAAGGAATGCCTCAGAATGCTAAGTCTGAAAGATGAAAATTATAGACTTGTATTTCTCAGTGAGCTTTGGATAATTCATCGTCTTCCGTTTATTGCCAATTTAAAGTGAAACACTTTTGGCTAGCCGTGAACGAGCTGGTATGAGTTGATGGCTGTGTGGTAGAGTCTCACCTAGGAGGCTGGCTGTCCCGTGTCTCTGCTTTGAGCCAGGTGTGCTGTGCCCCCTCCCTTTGGCTCTCTCCTCCCCTCTCCACTGTGTGCAAGCTCCAAGGAAGATTCCCAAGGGCTGTACAGCCCAGTGCCGCCTCTGAGGGAGCCTGGAGCTTACTGTCTTGTTAGGGAAATGAAGCAGAGGCCCGCCATCCAGGTGTGCTGTCAAAGGCATGATAAGTGATCGGTGATCCATGCAAGGGCTCTGTGGGTACCAGTTGTGAAAGGCCTGTGTTCTATTAGGACTTCTCACGGTAATCAATGTTTAGGAAAACTTTACAATCTCATTCCTGTAATGTATTCAGTCATTGAAATCCTTCTGTGTCACCAACATACCAACAAGAATCACTCTCTAAGTTTATTTGTAAATCAGTTGTTTGGACCACAGGACATACCGCCTTGTGGAAACAGTGTCCCCACAGTCATAGGGGACTGAAAATAGATCATGCACATTTGCTAAACCCACCCAAACAGTGTTCTTCACCCTTTCTTTAAACCTCACGGTTCTTCTGTCAAATGTACCACTGTGGGTGCCATCTCGACAAGCTGAGTGCATTCACTGCTTTCCTCTCTAACCCCTAAGGACTACAGGAGTCTCTTCTTGGGGAGAGGAAGATTAATCCTCTGGAGCTGCGTATGAGAAAGTGCTTCTTTCTAGAAGAGATTCGCCTCCCACGTGTCCCAAAGCAAGAAGCAGGGGGTTGTCGGTCACCCGTGAGGGATTGTCCCAACTTGGGATTTATGCTTCCACACTTTCTAGTTTATAGGAAACTCTCTGGAACTTGGTGGGAGCATCTCTACATGTTGCCTTTCCCTCTCTGTACATTTTCTGATTCTGTGTATTTTTCTTTTATCAAAGCCCATTTTAATGTACTAAAAAGACTGTCCGGTATGAATTCACTAATCTCAAGAGGTTTGACCCCAAAGTGAGTCCATTAAGTGTTCAGATCAACTCCTCTAATTTGAACTTTGCGGTAGTAATTAGGTTGCTTTGCCTCCGAATAATGTTCTAGTTGACTGCCCCTTGGAGGGGTCCGTTGTCTCTTAGTAGTTCAGTTGTAACATCTAATTAACCATAACTCACGATGAAGACGGGTATTTTCCATCTGATTAGCAAATTAGGCTCTCATACAAGGGAGTTCCTGGGGACGGTAGAGATGGCTTTAAATTAAACACAGTTTGCATTTCTTTTGTATGAACAGTTTTTAGATTCATTTCTAAAATATTATTCAAATGATTTTCAACATGATTTTGTATTTTAATTCAAGTACAGCATCTTTGAAGATCTCTTTTGAACTCATCTAATTTTAAAGAATAACGAGAGTGGATGGTAGTTTTATAAAGCAGACATTTTGTTAAATAAATTTATATTTATTTATTTATGTCTTTATTTTGGCTGTGTTGGGTCTTCATTGCTGCGCGGGCTTTCTCTAGGTGCGGCGAGCGGGGTCTACTCTTCGTTGTGGTGCACGGGCTTCTCATTGCGGTGGCTTCTCTTGTTGCAGAGCATGGGCTCTAGAGCACAGGCTCAGTAGTTGTGGCACGTGGGCTCAGTAGTTGTGGCTGGCAGGCTCTAGAGCGCAGGCTCAGTAGTTGTGGCGCACGGGCTTAGTTGTTCTGTGGCATGTGGGATCTTCCCGGACCAGGGCTCGAACCCGTGTTCCCTGCATTGACAGGCGGATTCTTAACCACTGAGCCACCAGGGAAGTCCTAAAGCAGACATTTTTTTATTGACTAGGAAACATTCGTAGAACCATTAACTTTTTTTTTAGTTCGTGGCCCTAGACTAGTGGTGGGTATATTACTGTTAAAATCCACTGAGTGGTACCCTGATGACCTGGAAGAATTAATATAATTTCAAACACGACAATTTCTGCCCAGGGTTTATTGTATCACTGGGAGGTAATAATGAAATGATGAGTTTTACTCAAGTGAAATTTTGGTGTCTTGCTACCGTGAACATTAAATGTAGCAGTTTTCTGAATGTATTTTTCCTTTTTTTCTAGAGATTTCACTTATGCGCCACAAACTGACACTATATTTAGTATTTAGGGTAGCAACTAAGCACTAAAAAGTCACCTTCAGTGATTTTTAGTCCAGAGCCAAGGACATGAGTTGTAGACCTATTACTGACTGACCCTATGCCTTTGGTTAAGTCACTTCAATTTTCCTCACCCATGGAATGAGATGGGTTGATCTTAAATATTCCTTCCAGTTCTACGATTCTGTGATTTCTCTTGTTAAGTTTTACTTATGGCATAGATCTTATCTATCAAGTATTTCATTTTTCCTAAAAAGCATCCTAATTGTTGGTCTTTCAGTGTTTCTT